TTCGTCTCTTGTCTTCAGAAAATCAACAAACACATAGCGCGATTTGTCATCGATGAATGTTACGAAGTACCGAGCTCCGCCTAAGGAGTTTTTATTCATTGGTCCGCAAATGTCAGTATGCACCAATCCAAGAACATTGTTTGCACGGCTTGCACTAGCTTTTGGGAATTGCTTTACACAAATTTTGCATTTTGCACAGGTTTCGCACACCTGGCCGTTCATGTCATTTAATGGACTTGTTTTAATACCGTTAACCATTTTTTCACACATCATCTTTTTTAGGCTTGCATAATTTAAATGTCCGAAACGATCGTGCCACACGTTTACTGGGTTTGTCTGTACATTTAAGCATTTGTTTTCTTGATTTTGGAACAAGAATAAATCGTGCTGCTTTTTTGCAACCATTATGGCGACGCCTTTATTGTTTTTCACACGCGCTTTTGTTTTTGCAAATTCAACAGAGAAACCATTTTCGATGGCCTTGGACACCGACATAAAATTGCATTGCAATTCCTTCACATACAAAACGTCGACAAGTTTTATGTGGTTATTTTCCCAAATCAAATCCACTGTGCCGCGCCCTTCAGCTTCTATGTAGCTATTGCCCGCTAAAGCAATTCGCTCTTTGTGCTCTTTTAGTTCGGTAAAACGAGATCGCTCACAACACAAGTGAGCCGTGGCACCACTGTCGACACACCACATACTCTTCGGAAAGAGAGTTTTAGACGCGCACGCAAAAACGGAATACGATTTCTCTCTTTCGGTTTCGTTATTTCCTTTCGGTGTGTTTTCTTGATTGTTCTTTGCTCTACACTTTGACGCCTTGTGTCCGCGACGACCACACGACCAGCAAATTATCCCACTCGGGCCATTCGTTTTCTTCTGTCCGTTTTCGTTATTCGTCTTTTGCTTTGACGACGACCAATTTTTAACACCCGAACCGAACGCTCGTTGTTCACTTTTCTCTGCGCATTCTTGATTTGCCTTGCGCCTGTCTCCTTCTTCATGAAGCTTTACTTTCAGAGAGTTCAAATTTGGCAAACAATCACGTGTCTCCATTGCTACCACAAAATTTTCGTAGGCCTCGGGCAGGCTCGATAGCAACAGAATAGACAAAATTTCTTCAGGAACTGTTAAGTCAATTTCTTTCAGTTTTTCCACGATCGCACAAAAATTATTTACGTGGTTCACTACCGATTCATTTTCGCTCATTTTTACGAACAACTGCTTTAACAGGCTTATGCGACGCGCGGGGCCTGATGGCATATGGATACCCGCTAGAACTTTCCATGCTTCTTTTGCAGATGTACAGTTTTTCACATAGTTTATCTGGAATGGCTTGATACACAGCATAATACTCGCCAGAGCCTTCTCGTCTTTTAGATCAAACTGTGCCTTCTGCGCATCATTATCTTCTTCATTTTTCACTTCTCGACCGCACACTACTGACCACAACTCAGAGTGTATTAGCACGCTTTTCATTTGGATTACCCACGCACTATAATTCTCATTGTCGAGCTTATCGATTGAATGGAAAGACGAACCCATTTTCGCAATCGATCGAGTCACAATTTCAGAAAGTCAGAAAAATTCTGGGCCCATAACCTATTCGTTGTGGTATTTATTTGTGACTAAATATGAAGAGCAAAAAGATGTCCGTCAAAGGCAGACGGAATACAAATCAAAAAGGGAAACGAGAGAACGCCGCTTCATTGCGACTCATACATACATGTTTACTTATGCTGGATAATGCATAACAGAAAGAAAAATAGAGAAGACACAGTGCGTTGTTTAAGTTTACATATTCAACACACTCATTTTCTCTTTCCCAATCATTTTCTATGTCGCACTCATTTTCTATTTCACACTCATTCTTCCCTAACCACTCATTTCTCTCTTCTTCTTCGTCTTCCGTTTCACACTCCTCTTCTTCGTAATCGTCATTTTCAGCTTTGCCAACGTTCTCTTCCCCACTCTCATTTTCCTTGCAAATGTCACTTACAATCTTAAATTTACATAATCTCATAAAATCTCTACCTAATACAGCCTCATGGCCCATCGACCCCTTCGTGCTCCTTCTGAAATCGGCTGTCCTACGACCGACTGTCTGTCATCGTCAACTCGATCTGAACCTTCTGGCTCCTCTGTGTTTCGCATATCGTCCATTTCAACTAAGGATTCATCCTCACTAGCCACGTCCAGGGCCTCTTCGTCCGGAATAGAATGCTTCTGGAACTCTACAAGCTGCGGCTGCACATATTCAGCAGCACTCGACGAAGGCATGCGATTCCTATACAGGGAGCTCTCGATGAAAATTACATCTCGTGCCTCAATCACTTTTTGTTTTTCGGGATTAAACAGCCTATATGCCTTTGCTGTTTCAGAATAGCCGACCAAATAATGCTCTTCGCCTTTTGGCGAAAATTTCTTGTTGAGTTTTATTTAACACAATTGCCTTCGCACCAAAGATCCGCAAATGGCCGACACAGGGCTTCCTTCCTCCACTTCAAACGGTGTCATGCCAGGTAAAGTTGAAGATTCTGCACGGTTACGCAAATATGCAGCAGTTTTGATTGCTTCTGCCCAGAATCGCTCGTCCAATCCTGCATGAAAGAGCATGCTGCGGGCCATTTCTACCAATGTACGATTGGCTCGTTCCGCGACACCATTCTGTTGGGGGGTATGAGGCACAGTTAATTGTCTTTTTACCCCGTATTCAACAAGACTCAAACGCGTCACTCAAGTTTCGCGACCGTTATCGCTTCTCAAGAGTACCAACTTCTTTCCCGACTGATTTTCCGCGAATGATTTAAATTGTTTGAACTTGCTAATTTCGTCTCTTTTCAGAAAATCAACAAACACATAGCGCGATTTGTCATCGATGAATGTTACGAAGTACCGAGCTCCGCCTAAGGAGTTTTTATTCATTGGTCCGCAAATGTCAGTATGCACCAATCCAAGAACATTGTTTGCACGGCTTGCACTAGCTTTTGGAATTGCTTTACACAAATTTTGCATTTGCACAGGTTTCGCACACCTGGCCGTTCATGTCATTTAATGGACTTGTTTTAATACCGTTAACCATTTTTTCACACATCATCTTTTTTAGGCTTGCATAATTTAAATGTCCGAAACGATCGTGCCACACGTTTACTGGGTTTGTCTGTACATTTAAGCATTTGGTTTCTTGATTTTGGAACAAGAATAAATCGGTGCTGTTTTGCAACCATTATGGCGACGCCTTTATTGTTTTTCACACGCGCTTCTGTTTTGCAAATTCAACAGAGAAACCATTTTCGATGGCCTTGGACACCGACATAAAATTGCATTGCAATTCCTTCACATACAAAACGTCGACAAGTTTTATGTGGTTATTTTCCCCAAATCAAATCCACTGTGCCGCGCCCTTCAGCTTCTATGTAGCTATTGCCCGCTAAAGCAATTCGCTCTTTGTGCTCTTTTAGTTCGGTAAAACGAGATCGCTCACAACACAAGTGAGCCGTGGCACCACTGTCGACACACCACATACTCTTCGGAAAGAGAGTTTTAGACGCGCACGCAAAAACGGAATACGATTTCTCTCCTTCGGTTTCGTTATTTCCTTTCGGTGTGTTTTCTTGATTGTTCTTTGCTCTACACTTTGACGCCTTGTGTCCGCGACGACCACACGACCAGCAAATTATCCCACTCGGGCCATTCGTTTCTTCTGTCCGTTTTCGTTATTCGTCTTTTGCTTTGACGACGACCAATTTTTAACACCCGAACCGAACGCTCGTTGTTCACTTTTCTCTGCGCATTCTTGATTTGCCTTGCGCCTGTCTCCTTCTTCATGAAGCTTTACTTTCAGAGAGTTCAAATTTGGCAAACAATCACGTGTCTCCATTGCTACCACAAAATTTTCGTAGGCCTCGGGCAGGCTCAATAGCAACAGAATAGACAAAATTTCTTCAGGAACTGTTAAGTCAATTTCTTTCAGTTTTTCCACGATCGCACAAAAATTATTTACGTGGTTCACTACCGATTCATTTTCGCTCATTTTTACGAACAACTGCTTTAACAGGCTTATGCGACGCGCGGGGCCTGATGGCATATGGATACCCGCTAGAACTTTCCATGCTTCTTTTGCAGATGTACAGTTTTTCACATAGTTTATCTGGAATGGCTTGATACACAGCATAATACTCGCCAGAGCCTTCTCGTCTTTTAGATCAAACTGTGCCTTCTGCGCATCATTATCTTCTTCATTTTTCACTTCTCGACCGCACACTACTGACCACAACTCAGAGTGTATTAGCACGCTTTTCATTTGGATTACCCACGCACTATAATTCTCATTGTCGAGCTTATCGATTGAATGGAAAGACGAACCCATTTTCGCAATCGATCGAGTCACAATTTCAGAAAGTCAGAAAAATTCTGGCCCATAACCTATTCGTTGTGGTATTTATTTGTGACTAAATATGAAGAGCAAAAGATGTCCGTCAAAGGCAGACGGAATACAAATCAAAAAGGAAAAAAAAAAACGCCGCTTCATTGCGACTCATACATACATGTTTACTTATGCTGGATAATGCATAACAGAAAGAAAAATAGAGAAGACACAGTGCGTTGTTTAAGTTTACATATTCAACACACTCATTTCTCTTTTTTCTCCAATCATTTTCTATGTCGCACTCATTTTCTATTTCACACTCATTCTTCCCTAACCACTCATTTCTCTCTTCTTCTTCGTCTTCCGTTTCACACTCCTCTTCTTCGTAATCGTCATTTTCAGCTTTGCCAACGTTCTCTTCCCCACTCTCATTTTCCTTGCAAATGTCACTTACAATCTTAAATTTACATAATCTCATAAAATCTCTACCTAATACAGCCTCATGGCCCATCGACTCGTTTGCCACTACTAATAGTTCAAAGTTAATTTGTTCTTCATTAAAAATTACAAAACCGGAAACTTGTCCGAAAACACGAAGTCTACTGTTGTTAAGACCAACTTATGTGTGGCTCGTATTTTTATTAATAACAAATGTAGGCTTCTTCGTTTCATTGCCATACTGTGAATTACATGAACTTAACTCGCCTTCTCGGCCTTCTGTCGCATTAATTTTAGTTTCTTGGTTGTGATATGAACTTAAATCTACTTGATTAATATTGTGTCCATTTGAGAGGCACGAGATCTTTACAAAACTTATTGGGCTCCCTGAGTCGATGAGGCAGTCTAAGAAAAAACATTTATTACTAAAATTCTTAATGAATATGTTAAATTTACGGATGTATTCGTTCTGTACCTTATCTTTCCGTTCACCGCAATGTGCTATCTGGTGGTTCATGCTGCCGCATCCGTAGCATGCTCCTCTTTCACGCTTGGGCTTGCGACAATCCACTGCCATGTGGCCCAACGAGTTGCAGTTATAGCAGCGGACCAGTGACGAAGACTCTCCCGAGATGCTCCTTGCTCCTGGTGGCGTGTACTTCTTCGGCAGCATGACTTTCTCGAAAGCCCTCAGCAGCTGATACGGCGCGACGAAACACTGCATATGGGCCTGACGGCGCAGTGTCTCATCTGGGATACCCTCGACGATGCCGTCGATTAACTCTTCGGCGTCGATGGCTATGCGAGACGCTAGCATCATTTTGTCGTTGAAGTAGCCGACGAACTCCTCGTCGCGCATCCACGACCGTGACTCAAACTTGCGGCGGAGTGATAGCTTGCTTTCCTTGAGTTGAAATGTATTCTCCATTATGTTTAATAGTTGAACAATTGGCATGGACATGTGCTGTACCTCAGAATGCAGCCACATTAGGGCATTGTCTTTCAGCTTTGACATCAGCAGCATCAGTAGCTGCTCATACGACAGTTGGTTTATCTTTGCCGTCGCTCTGAATTGCGCGATCCAAGCAGTGACGTCACTATTGTTGCCAGAGGTGTTGCCGTGGTAGTTTGGCAACATGTCTTTCGCAACATTAAGTCGCGAGAGGCTAGACTCAATATTGACAGACGTGCCTGCACACAGCGGAATATTCTCGCTCTCTCCTCCCTTTTGCAGCTTTAGCAACTCAATTCGTAACTTCAAGGCCTCGATTTCGTTTGCTAGATCCGTTGCTTTTCGTTGCTCCTTTTGTGCTTCTGGTTCGTTGTTGTAGCTGTCGTTTGTCGGCGATACGAAGGTCGACGTCGCATCATCGGTCTCTCCTTTGTCCTCACCGTTAGAATGCTGACTGGCGTCGTGGTTTTTTGTCGAATCTGGATTGTTCTGGAACACCTCGTTTTCCGACTCGCTCTCGCACATGTCTGCTGCTGGCGGCCCCTGTCCGCGTGCTTCCAGTGGGACTTCATTTAAACGAGCTGCCATGGCGGCTTTGTTCCCGTTCTTTGGCAAGTTAAGGGACTCAAGCCACTCCCGCAGTTGTGCCGCTGAGTATTGCTCTGCTCCAACCAAATCCGACATTTTCACTTTGAATTTTTTTTTAGTTTTGTTTTAATTGCAGCCGGCGTCGATTAAGGGTTGAAGAAGAAGAAAAAAAAATGTGCAATTTGCTTGTGGCGACTATGGTTCTGATCCCACTTCTGAATTTGTAGGGGGGTACACGAATTACAAAACTCCGCACAAATCAGTTCGTTTTATCTTTTTTTTATTCCGCTTCGTGAGTTTTGAGGCGCTCGTATTCCAACAAAAAGTCCAGCCTCGATCACGATCTCCGCTTCCTTCCCTATCGATATTATCTCTACGATCTATTCTAATATATTCTACTCGCAACTCCGCTGCATGTATCGAGTTGGTGAACGATACCTACGCGCGCTCCTTAATATTTAAATGGTGTCTCTCTAAGTATTTACAGTACTCTACTTATATTACTACACTACATTCCAGATTTTTTTTACAATGATAGAAAATAAAGTTTTTAACGTAAATTACCTTAAATGTCGGATTATATCCGTGTTCTTCGATAATTTCCGCCCCAAATGAAGTCATTTGGAAACAGACATTCTATTTTTGAGTGTTCGCTAGAAAATGTCGTGATTCTAAGGTTTCGCCATAAAGCAGGGAGCGCAATGGCTCTGGTGGCGGGACCAATAATGGCAATTTCACTTTACCACTATGGCAGCACAAACCAGGCGTTTCACCAGCAAACTTCAATGCTCCACAATGCTGGCAAACAACGTCCATTGGACCAATGCAAACTAAACGATGCAAGCTGTAGTCGATGGTGCAATCATACAGAAACGCTGCTCGATTCAAATCAATACTTGAACCATTTCTTCTTGCACTTCGAAGATTATTCCTCTGTTCATCTGTACGATAAGCTCGACGATTTCTCGTTTCTAACCTAGCCGTTTCACGGGCTGCCTCTCTTTGCTCTTGTGTTTGAGAAGCACGAATTAAGGCCCTTCTTTGCTCCATACTAACGCGGCGCTGTTCTCGTGCAATTTCTCGTTCTCCATCAGATAATTGACTCGCGATATTCCGTTGCCTAATTGCATTACGGCTTCGCTGGGAAAGATTAGATCTTCTAGGACGCGGCATTGTTATTAAAATGTGCACTCGCATAAAACCACCAAACTGATTTTTTATTCCCTAAATTCCGTTCCTTTCCGATGATTTTATTACTGTAGAATAAATCTTAGGTATTATTTTCGGGAATTAAAAATGTAATAATTAATAAATAATTTTCGAAAATTAATGTCTAAAACAAACAAATATAACAGTACCTGAACTTTGTAGACATTTTACAAAAAATAAATTTCTGAACGCACACATGATGTCTTCAGAAAAAAATAAAGCTGTGGCTTAAAGGTCTCAGCAATCAGGCATTAACCTCCAAAAAAAAAAAAAGTTGTTACACTATTTGACAGGATTGGACAACAAATGTTTGACATGTAATAAACAAATCAGCATCTATTGAAATGATTAAGTATTCATTACACATATCGAGTTTTCATTGTTTTTATGTATTGTATTATGTATTATGTATTTGATGTATTCTGCTATTCGGGACGGAAACAAATCCAACCAATCAAAAACCATGGCAATCGGTCCAGCCGTTCTCGAGTTATAAGTGTTGTAACAAACACGACACTCTTTTATATATATATAAGATATCGGTTCTATTCGCGCACGCAAAAACGGAATACGATTTCTCTCTTTCGGTTTCGTTATTTCCTTTCGGTGTGTTTTCTTGATTGTTCTTTGCTCTACACTTTGACGCCTTGTGTCCGCGACGACCACACGACCAGCAAATTATCCCACTCGGGCCATTCGTTTTCTTCTGTCCGTTTTCGTTATTCGTCTTTTGCTTTGACGACGACCAATTTTTAACACCCGAACCGAACGCTCGTTGTTCACTTTTCTCTGCGCATTCTTGATTTGCCTTGCGCCTGTCTCCTTCTTCATGAAGCTTTACTTTCAGAGAGTTCAAATTTGGCAAACAATCACGTGTCTCCATTGCTACCACAAAATTTTCGTAGGCCTCGGGCAGGCTCGATAGCAACAGAATAGACAAAATTTCTTCAGGAACTGTTAAGTCAATTTCTTTCAGTTTTTCCACGATCGCACAAAAATTATTTACGTGGTTCACTACCGATTCATTTTCGCTCATTTTTACGAACAACTGCTTTAACAGGCTTATGCGACGCGCGGGGCCTGATGGCATATGGATACCCGCTAGAACTTTCCATGCTTCTTTTGCAGATGTACAGTTTTTCACATAGTTTATCTGGAATGGCTTGATACACAGCATAATACTCGCAAGAGCCTTCTCGTCTTTTAGATCAAACTGTGCCTTCTGCGCATCATTATCTTCTTCATTTTTCACTTCTCGACCGCACACTACTGACCACAACTCAGAGTGTATTAGCACGCTTTTCATTTGGATTACCCACGCACTATAATTCTCATTGTCGAGCTTATCGATTGAATGGAAAGACGAACCCATTTTCGCAATCGATCGAGTCACAATTTCAGAAAGTCAGAAAAATTCTGGGCCCATAACCTATTCGTTGTGGTATTTATTTGTGACTAAATATGAAGAGCAAAAAGAGTGTCCGTCAAAGGCAGACGGAATACAAATCAAAAAGGGAAACGAGAGAACGCCGCTTCATTGCGACTCATACATACATGTTTACTTATGCTGGATAATGCATAACAGAAAGAAAAATAGAGAAGACACAGTGCGTTGTTTAAGTTTACATATTCAACACACTCATTTTCTCATTCCCAATCATTTTCTATGTCGCACTCATTTTCTATTTCACACTCATTCTTCCCTAACCACTTATTTCTCTCTTCTTCTTCGTCTTCCGTTTCACACTCCTCTTCTTCGTAATCGTCATTTTCAGCTTTGCCAACGTTCTCTTCCCCACTCTCATTTTCCTTGCAAATGTCACTTACAATCTTAAATTTACATAATCTCATAAAATCTCTACCTAATACAGCCTCATGGCCCATCGACTCGTTTGCCACTACTAATAGTTCAAAGTTAATTTGTTCTTCATTAAAAATTACAAAACCGGAAACTTGTCCGAAAACACGAAGTCTACTGTTGTTAAGACCAACGTATGTGTGGCTCGTATTTTTATTAATAACAAATGTAGGCTTCTTCGTTTCATTGCCATACTGTGAATTACATGAACTTAACTCGCCTTCTCGGCCTTCTGTCGCATTAATTTTAGTTTCTTGGTTGTGATATGAACTTAAATCTACTTGATTAATATTGTGTCCATTTGAGAGGCACGAGATCTTTACAAAACTTATTGGGCTCCCTGAGTCGATGAGGCAGTCTAAGAAAAAACATTTATTACTAAAATTCTTAATGAATATGTTAAATTTACGGATGTATTCGTTCTGTACCTTATCTTTCCGTTCACCGCAATGTGCTATCTGGTGGTTCATGCTGCCGCATCCGTAGCATGCTCCTCTTTCACGCTTGGGCTTGCGACAATCCACTGCCATGTGGCCCAACGAGTTGCAGTTATAGCAGCGGACCAGTGACGAAGACTCTCCCGAGATGTTCCTTGCTCCTGGTGGCGTGTACTTCTTCGGCAGCATGACTTTCTCGAAAGCCCTCAGCAGCTGATACGGCGCGACGAAACACTGCATATGGGCCGTTCCTTTCCGATGATTTTATTACTGTAGAATAAATCTTAGGTATTATTTTCGGGAATTAAAAATTTAATAATTAATAAATAATTTTCGAAAATTAATGTCTAAAACAAACAAATATAACAGTACCTGAACTTTGTAGACATTTTACAAAAAATAAATTTCTGAACGCACACATGATGTCTTCAGAAAAAAATAAAGCTGTGGCTTAAAGGTCTCAGCAATCAGGCATTAACCTCCAAAAAAAAAAAAATAGTTGTTACACTATTTGACAGGATTGAACAACAAATGTTTGACATGTAATAAACAAATCAGCATCTATTGAAATGATTAAGTATTCATTACACATATCGAGTTTTCATTGTTTTTATGTATTGTATTATGTATTATGTATTTGATGTATTCTGCTATTCGGGACGGAAACAAATCCAACCAATCAAAAACCATGGCAATCGGTCCAGCCGTTCTCGAGTTATAAGTGTTGTAACAAACACGACACTCTTTATATATATATAAGATATCGGTTCTATGTTATCTATACTATTAAATTGTATTGGTAAATTAGATTTTCTGTCAAATACCAATTCATATGGACAATAATTGTGTGCAATAGATGGTGTAGTGTTAAAGCAGAAGACGAAGTATTGAAGCCATACGTCCCAATCAGTCTTATCAACTGATATGTATGAACGTATGTACTCATTAAAAGTTCTATGACTTCTTTCTACTGTTCCTACTGTCTGGTGGTGGTGTGTTGTGGAAGTTATGTTTTCTATTTCTAGAAATTTACATAAGTTCGTGATTATTGAATTTTTGTATTCTGTTCCCATGTCCGTAATGAACGTCTTCATTGGACC